TTTTCCTATTACCTAGCTGGGGACTATTTTCAGTCGCTGCGTAATATCATTGTGAATGCTGCACCCATGGTACGGCAGCAATGTTATTTGATTATAACACCGGAATGAGAGTATAGTTCCTAGCCATATCGTCTTAGAAAATCGCAACTTTTCATTTTCCGTCGGTCTTAGTACACGATGTAACTACAGAAGAGTCAAGTTTTAAATAGGAAAAATATCGAAACTCTTTGGTCATTTTTGAGCGAGATGCTAACGGTCCAATCAGATTCAATGATCTATGCTAAGCTGCAGCTAAAAGTGCTACCGCCAGACCTGGAGATAAGCTGAATGGATTCGAAAACGGTAAAACTCAACTCTTGGAAAATGCCTATTTTCAAAAATAGTGGCGTGTTCCTTTAAGCCTGCACGTAGGATTGTACAGCCTCTGGGACTAAGACTGGGGCAGGTCCATTGGGCAGTTTTTCTTGGTTTTAAACTAGCTTCCCAAGGTGAAGGCAAAGGTGAAACACAATATACACAGAAACAAAGGTAAATCTATAATTGTTCCCGCACGGCTAGCGACGAAGGTCTTCACATCCAAGGAACACTGTCACCCAAGATGAGGTATGCTTTAAGCAAGCTATTTTTGTTTGTTTGTTTGAATGGTCTCTCTATTCTGAGACTTTGGACATGATCTATGCTAAGCTGCAGCTAAAAGTGCTACCGCCAGACCTGGAGATAAGCTGAATGGATTCGAAAACGGTAAAACTCAGCTCTTGGAAAATGCCTATTTTCAAAAATAGTGGCGTGTTCCTTTAAGCCTGCACGTAGGATTGTACAGCCTCTGGGACTAAGACTGGGGCAGGTCCATTGGGCAGTTTTTCTTGGTTTTAAACTAGCTTCCCAAGCTGAAGGCAAAGGTGAAACACAATATACACAGAAACAAAGGTAAATCTATAGTTGTTCCCGCACGGCTAGCGACGAAGGTCTTCACATCCAAGGAACACTGTCACCCAAGATGAGGTATGCTTTAAGCAAGCTATTTTTGTTTGTTTGTTTGAATGGTCTCTCTATTCTGAGACTTTGGACACAATTATCCCATGTCCTTCCACAACATCAGAGTGAAAAAGGATTTATTTTTCAAGAGTGAGCGTTGAAAGTTTATTCTGTGGTGGAAGAAGCAGCAGAACTTGTGGTCTCTGGCAGAGTAATCTCTTCTTCATAGTCTGTCGTGGCCCCTGATTCAACCTCTATTCTTTTATCTTGCTTTGTCAGGGTGGCTGCACTGCTTCTTCCGTTTCCCTCCTCCTCTTCTCTTTCTAGCATTTTCCCTTCGACTGTGACTTTGAGAAAGATGATTGCCTTTTGGTAAAGCCATTCCTCTGTTCACCTCTATTTCGCCACCCCATTTGTGTGTGTACTTTTTACCACTGTCTTGCTTTCTGCCTCTCTTTCCCTCCTTTTCTCACTGTCCTTACTCTCCTGCACCCAGGCATTGTGCTTAGCAAACATCAAAGAAGTCCATCACACACCATCTCACACAAATCTTTAAACAGCCAGAGAACATCCAGACCTCTCCCATCCCTCTGTCACAGTGTCACCGTGTGTTTCAGAAGCAGTGGAGGACTGTTGGGACTTGTGGACTCACCCGCTGAAAAGATCTGGAGTTGTTATAATGCCTTTTCTCTCAACGGGCCTTACGAAAGGGGGCCCTAACACTGTGATCAGGGGCCGGGTGATATTCTGTTTGAAATGATAAAAGGATTAATTTTCAACAGCCTTCCTCGCACAGGGGGCAGTCCCAAGTGCCACAGCATGCCAAGGGTCATCTTTAGAATATGACTGCCTTCAAAAAATCCCTGCTAACTGCGATGTCTCGTGGCAATGTTATACCTCTTTTCAAGACCCCTCTCTCTTTGTCAAGTGCATAAAGATTAATGAAGAAAATTTCACGGCCCACGCTTCTGCTCCTGCAATGCTCCTGAGCTCTATCCCTCCCTCCTTCTCTGTTCATTTTTCTTTTTCATCTTTATTTCTATCATTATTTTACTCTTTCTCCTCTCTAGCTAATTCTGGCAATGGGTCTTGTGTAGTAAACAAACAAAGTAGTCGCAGCAAGGGAGGAGAGAGCAAAGCAAGAAAGACAGAGACAGAGAATGGGACAAAGAGAGAGAGACTCATTTCTTATTTGGAATTCAGAAAGATGCAGTGATCAAAGAAGGCTCAATATCTCCTAGCTGTTCAAAGGGACTTGTATAAAACAAATATGATGTGATCAGGAATAGAAGCACTCTCATTAAGAGCCGAAGCGGATGATGACAGGTGCGTGGAAGAATCTCGTTGCACGCTAATTTTCTTCCCCCACTGAAAATGTGTTGTTTGCTTTGCTTTCGTTTTCCTCCCTCGGCCTCGCCTTCCTTCGTGTTGTTGCTCCTGATATTGATTAGGGAGTGAACGGTAGAGTAGTAGAGAGGGATTTCACAGATGCCGCTCCCCTGCATGGTTTTGTCAGTGACAGCCCCTCTCCTCATGACAACTAGAGCTCTGAGCAGGGTGTGAGACATGATTGCTGTTTGCACACAGAAGTCGCATCGACATAAACATCTCGCTTTCGGGCCTTCAGGGTTTTGAAAACCTTTTACATTTTCCTGTTACGATAAGAACGGCAATTACCGACTAGGAGCTCCTGGCTGATCAGGTGGATTTCTTCAAACAGATGCTCTGCTGTGGCTTCCGTCGACAAAGGAGCTGGGCCACTCACTATTGCAGAACTGTGGAGAAAGCCTTGCTAGAACGGTTTGCTAAATCAAGTGAAGTTGTGTGCATCAAGATTTTAGTTTTAAATCCACCAAATGTCTAGAATGAGGATTTTGTCCTGTCTCACCTTTGTCTTCACATTCAAATGTCAAATCTATCCAACAATTGAAATTCACAATCACACAATGTCATAATTTAGACCAGTGGTTCCCAACCCTGGTCCTGGAGGCAGCCCAACACTGCACATTTTACATATCTCCTTTCTCTGACACACCAATTTCAGATCTTGCGTCTCTACTAATGAGCCGATGACCTGAATCAGGTGTGTTTGATTAAGGATACATGCAAAACGTGCAGTGTTGGGGTGCCTCCAGGACCAGGGTTGGGAACCACTGATTTAGACATTTTACTTTTTTTTTATTATAATTTTTTTTTTACACAGATTGTAATACTGCAATCATCAATCTTCAACCCTGTTACCCAAGTTATTGTGAAAGTTGTAAGCTGTTTTAAACATTTTAAAATTAATTTTAATCAGGGTTGCAAAAATTGCAAACCCATAGAAAATTTAGTTTAATTAGACCTACTAAGGTTGATGATCAACATTTCCTGCTTAAAATCTACTCACTGACCATTTGTTAATTATTTTTTAATTAAGTAATTTTTTTAAACATTTTTAAAGATTTCGGGTCATATTTTGGAGAGCCCTGTTCTTAGAAAGTAACATTGGTCCTCAAGACCATTTGGCCATGGCTTTTCTGTATTATTTAGATCTGTAATGAAATGGCAGGTCCTAGAGTGTTTTTTCTCCTGGAGCAGGTAATGAAATATTCAGTATTTTTCTCCAGCCAGGATGGTGGCATGGGCTTTGTTACCATTGGTCTGACACAGACATCTCAGGACAGGATCTTAGTTAGCACATCAAAATTGCTTCGTATCTGTCAGATTATTTTTTCCTAGCAGGCCTGTCAATTTTTGTGTTTATATTCCACTGCCTTGTTGATATCTATTGTATCTGCTTAGTCCAAAAGAAACAGGATGTGTGATATTGTGATTCTAAGCTTTTGCAATACAGAAGTACCAAAGAGGCTTTTGAATAATACGCTGAGCCGAGTAGAAGAAACTGGTTTGTTTTATTTACAGCCCAGTTTATTGTAAATATTGCTTTATCCAGAAACCTGATGCATGAGAGACTATACATGCTGCTACAAAACATGCAAAAAAGTAAACATGGACACTTTGTAAAAATCTTAGATGGAATACATACAATTTAATTAATTCCTGCTTAAATCCACCATCAGTACATCGGAGACACATGGCAACATTTCATATTTGATTTATTGGGAGGTAATGACAGGGATCAACTGACATTTCGTTTGTTGGCAGAAAGTCTATAGAGCAGATAATAAGATTCTCCTCCTGTGTTTGTGCGAATGAGGGCGTCTGTTTGATTCTTCTGTCTCTGTTTGAGCCTTGGCTGCGAATCATTCCGAGGATTGGTTTTGTTTTTTTAACAATGTATGATCAGACGATGAATGCAAACAAGAAACATCTCAGCGGTTCAACTGTTGTAGTTTGACCTGAATTCAGTGAGATCAGTAATTACTCCAACCGTGGATAGATTTGTTTTATACCTGATGCAATAGAGTATGTTTGATAGAAACTGGTAGCTAGAGGATTATGAGTCATATTTCAGCTAATCAGAAAAGATCTGATCCCTCTGTATGATGTGAAGTCCGCAATCGAGGCTCATTTACAAACTTGCTATGTTTCAGAAAATGATTGTTCAGATGAAAGTTTATCCATTATTATATGTTGGTTGACTCGTGTTATGTTTGTACTCACTCTGGCTCATTTATATCTAAAGTTGTATTGTTACATCTGCTGGGAAACACAACAGACCCAGCAAAACCTGCGAAATTCAGCATTACATTTTCACAACATTACTATCTCAGCTCCAAACTGTACTCAGTGATAATGTGACTTGTATTTTGAGGAGTGGTATTTTAAGTGATTATTCTAGACAGATGTCAGTTGTGTCTTTGCTAGAATAACACCTGGTTCACATAGGTAGTTTAGTTTTACATCCAGTACTTCTTTAATGTATGGTCAGAAAATACTGATTTGCAGTAAAAGTTTTGGTGTTGCATTTTGTAGGGACAATATTTACTTTCGGACAGCAGCAATTAATATTAACATTAATGATCTAAGTAAAGCATTGTCTGTAACTCTCTTTGGGACATTCCCAGGACACAATGACATTCATTCATTCATTCATTCATTCTTAATTAAGCAATTCAAGTAATCTATTTCCTATGTCAGGCCTTCCAGTGAATTTAAAAATACAATTGATGTTTCTTCTGTTACAGGCTAAAGAGCTAAACTTGTAAAATAATGTGACTAAGTAAAATTGATTATATCAGTAGTATGTCATGGGGACACAAATTACACATTTTCTGAGAATGACCCTAACAGTAACCAATTTATTTATTATTTTATGCTGAAGTGTATTCAACATGTTGGACAACATATCTGCAATCCAAGAATGCAAGTTTCCTAAAAGTTCAAGAATTCTGAATTTTTCTTCTATCAACAAGACGGAGCTGACAAATACTGAATTATTTTGCACAGTGCTTTTGTTTTTAAAAGCCAAGATTTATTTTTTGTACCCCTGGTTAACCCTGACCGAGGTATACTGTACACCGAGACAGCTGCACTGATTTATAACTGCCAACATCGTTTTTTTCCACCAGGGGGCAGTATGTGACCTAAAAACACACAGCCCTGTCAGACCTTTGTCTTTCAACCATGCAGAAAAGCAAAACTGAACCGACAGGGTCAATCTCTGCAAGTCCAGCACAGTTTTAAGGGATCATTTGTGCCACATACTGAGTGTATATAGTCTGACTGGGATTTTGAAAACACTCTTCTCTTTCTTCGTGTGTGTGTGTTTGCTCCATACTCAACTAATGATGTAAGCCTCTGCAAGTTACTGCAGGTATTGTGCACAGGCTTCTATTCAACATTTGTTCAAGGCCTTGACAAAGGATGCTGTGCTGCACAGTTTTTCATGGCTACCTTTTATGCTTTATAAATAGTGTACGGCCCACACATGAATAATTGAGCGTTCCAAAGTTCCAGCGTCCTCCAACTCTTAACGGGATAAAGTGAACTTAGAGCTCACATTTATCGCCCTTCTAGAAGATAATGGACAGTGTTTAGGTGATGCATCCTCTAAAACGGGGTTTTGATGCCAAGGACCCCCAGATATGAACCTCTTTCCTAAAAAGTATAAATTTGAAGAAAATGTATCTGGAATTTATACTCTGTGTAGTAAGTGTAAGTATCTGGAAATTATTATTGTTAATTCAAAATAGTTATAATTTCAAAATGATTTATGATATATTTGTATCCTCCCGCCCCCACAGACCACCTGGCACACTCTTACAGCCTTCTTGGGGACCCCAGTTTGAAAACCCCTGCTTAAACATATCTAACTTGCAGTCCAGAAAAGTTCTAATAATTTAGAGGACTTTATTGGCCTTTAGTGTGGCACTGTTGACTTTTCCCTCTTGCAAATACACCCTTATTCTATGAGTGGACACCAGCCCTTCAGTATGAACAGTGTCAATTGTGGGTGGCTGTAGATTATTTGTAAATTAAATGTGTTTGTCGGGGGGAGGTGGGGTAGCCGGCACACTCAGGTACAGAGGCTAACAACTTGCTCTGAAACAGTAACAGCTGCCAGGGCTTGCTCCACTGAGAGAGAGAGGGCTGTGTTCATTAGGCAGCAATGTCTCCTGGGCTCGTCCACCTGCCTTGATCACGTTAACATTAATAATACATGACTGAGCACGGTAATAAAACCATTACATTCGCTCCTCTTCTTTTCTATCTCACGCTGCTGGTGCTACTGGTTCCACATGTGGGGACAGAATCTAATTTCTTGCCTTTATCGAAGGCTTCCTCGTGTATCATCGCCACCAAACAGTACACAGCGCTCAGAGGCACAAAAATGAGTTTACCCTTTCTTTTTGGGGTTCACCTGGCCCTAAAACAATACACTGGTCGCTGATTCTGAAATATGTGTGTCGTTAATTCGGCAGGGGTGAAACCAAAGCTTGTTCATTTCTGTGTAATTTCAAATCTGCCACAACTGAGGGCCGTCCTCGGAACAAGGTGTTTTATCCCCGAGCAGGAGTCAGAAGAAATGGCTACAGATGATGGGATTTTATCAGACACAGATATGCCTTTTCAATATGGTTCAAAAATTTCTCCAAGTGACCATACATTTTAATGTCAGCAGAAATGGCTTCTGGAGATTGCTTTAAATGATTGGATTTGCCTGTTAAGATTGGAATGGGAGGATTTGCATAGATTTAAAACACCTGTGATGAAATCTAAATGTGCCATGGCCTCTCTCAAACAGCGGGGTTATATGGGCAGGATGTGGGAAAGAGAAGGGAAGGGAAAAGGGAAAAGGGAAACAATCCAGGGATCATGTCCTTGTTAAAATTCACACAGTCATTTCCTTTTATGGCTGGAGATCCTATCAGTCAATAAGAAGAGTGAACCGGTTGAATCACAAGTATGAATACTGGATAGATCCGTAAATATGACTGATTCTTTTTTTAATGTAACGGTCTTAAGCCCGAGATCAGAT